CTTCAAAGGGGGAGAGGTGAACTTTGGGTTGCCTGAGCCCGACATCGTTGGCTCCAGCAACCGTGGCACCCACCCAGTGGGGCGGGAGGTGGCAGGTGCAGACCCCTGTCCTGGTTCAGCACAGGAGCGATTTGGCCGTGCTGGAGTTGTTTCTGGTCACCAGGGCCAGTGCTGACACTGCTCGCTCGTGGGAGGGTCAGTGGAGGCTTTAAGGAAATGACAGCAACAAGGGCAGTGTTGTTTGATGAATCTCCCATAAAAAAGGCTCAGCAATATCAAACAAATAAATCATCTCTTCTCTACAATGCAAACTTTATTTATTTTCCATGTATGACTGAACTCCTCAGGTGTTTATACTGAGGATATTCAAATTCTACCATGCAAGTAGTCCACAAAAAATGAAACTTATGTGATTTCTTAAAAGTACTTTTTAATTCTGAAATTAATAATAGCATAATATGTGGTACAAAAACTGTGTATAACCCCCAAGAGCTTCTCCCAGCTGGGTCCCAGAGAGACCAAGCAAGCGAGTCCTCCTCCAGAGGTGCCAGGGCTGTGCCCCATGTCTCTGGTGCACCCATTCGGGATGCTTGGCTGCGTGCAGGATCGTCCCTTCCCCACCTCTGTCAGTCCCTTCTGTCTGTTTGGGTGGCCTGATATCAAGGGTAGGGCCTTGGTGCTACGATAATCCAAATGCTGGATAATGATGTCCAATAGTAAACGCTATCTGCTCTACAGCTCAGAAGTTGCTTCTGTGTTCTCCTGAACGTTCACCCCTTGCATTCTCCCTGCTCCGCTTTCCCGGCTGCTCACTGGGTCAGCTGAGGCACTGTGCCAGCTCTGCGCTGCCGCTGCCCCACGCCCATCCGCCTCTGCACCGCTTCCCCGGCCCCAGCACCCTCCTCTCCGCTGAGTTAGCAGTTAACTCCATAGCTGAGCCATTTCTTAGTCACTGTCTTGGAGAAAAATCAGTCTCCTACAAAAGGCTGTTATTTTCAGTGGAAGGAAACGCATTTTTAAGCGCTCGCTCTTTTAACAAACCAACCCCACTTTCACAGAGAAATTTCTGTTAGAGAGCACGTGCTGCCAGGGGGGCGGTGGGCGCCTGCGTGCCCATGTGCGGCACTGGAGCATGGAGCTCTGCAATCCATGGGCAGGGGACAAGCCCAGCATGCCTGTGTCCTAGGTGTCTGGCCTAGGCGCGGAGGGATGCCCCAGCCCCTGCGTTGCAGTGTGCTCGCAGCCATCGTGTTCTTTCACACAGTGCAAGCATGGAAGTGGTCCCGTCAATGGCCAGTAACACATATTAGGACCTGGCTTTGGTCCTAACATCACTAAACAGAGCTGAGGCACACGCCCTGCTGGGTAAGGTCTGCGAGAGTGGCAGGGCTCTTGCTGATGGATTTCAGTCTGTCCCCGGGATGCTGCCGTAGCCTCCAGGAGGAGCGTGCAGGGCGGCTGCTGGTGCTGCTGCTGCTGCGTGGAAGAGTCATAAACTGAATGGGGAAGACTTTTATGAATTATTTACACAAATAGCTCTGCTGTTCCTTGGCTATATGGGAATGCCAGGAAGGGTAAATGGTGTTTCGAGCACTTTAAATGAGTGGATCTTCTGGTGGTCACTCAGGGACACAAGGATGTTCCCATGGGCAGGCAGCAGCCCAGGGGTGCACACACAGGCAGAGGCATGGCCGCTCAGGACCCTGGTAATGGGTTTCCCCATGGGAGTTGCTGCCTGATTCTCGGCTGGGAAGTCCAGTGTACACCCGGGCTTCAGGACACCTGCCTGCTGCCTGCTGCCCAGTGCCTGCTGCCATGATCCCAGCTAGGGAGCGGGAGCCCCGAAGGAGGTGTGGATGTTGTAGGTGCAGAGAGCCTGCCCAGCTCCTGCACATCTCCTCCTGCCCTGCCAGTGAGATGAGCTGTTCGTGCAGCCCAGCTGCCGGCCAGGAGCAGCGGACAAGTGGACAGCTGTCTCCCCTGGACACCTCAGCACCCTGCTCCCTGTGCAGGGCTGGGGAGGGCAGCCACCTTGCAGGGCAGTGACACTGTTCCTGAAGGAGCACTGCGCTGGTGTGTGCACCCCAGGGGCTATCAATACATCCTGTGCTTCACTGTCCTCTTGGTACCTCATGTAGAGACACTGCTATCATTTGTGACACCCACACTCAGCTGCCATGTAACTCATGAAGTCTTCAGGTATTTATATTTCTGCCAGCAGACACGGTTGGTTCAGTCTCAGAGGCACCAAACAGCTCTGCATCTCTCAGCCTAACCCTCAGTCAGGTTTAACCCTGTGGGGATGCAGGCACAGCTGCGGGACAGGGAGGCGGCTGTGGGACTGCCTGCATGGGCAGCGGGGCCGGGACCCCACTGAGTCCAGTGGGGCTGTGCACTGGCCACCCACCTCACTGCCAGCAATGGTTCGGGGTAAATCCCAAGGGAATGTGTCACTTCTCCCGGTAGCCTCCAAGCACTGACCTGCTCCCAGCCCAGCCTGCCTGAATTCAGCCCGAACCATACAGCTGCGTTCCCAGCATCTCCCACTCACGTTGGAGCAGGAGCCTGATGCTGGCAGCAGAAACCTGAGCAGCATGGTTTGAAAACCCCCATTTATTTAATTATTTATCTATTCAGCCCATTGCCTATCGCCACAGGCTTGTCTTCTATTTTCTAATGCTGTGAGATAATTTAAAAAAAGTTTATAAACAAATATTCCTTATGCTCATGCGCTGCCTCACGTCTGCCAGGGTAACAGCAAACCACATTTGCATGCTTAGGCCAAAGTTAAAGGAAGCCAGAAATAATGTGCAATATCAGTTCAAGTATTAAAATATGGCATTTGCATTCTGTATGTTGCTGCTTATGTTAAATATAATCAGCAAGAGCAGAGCTTTACAAACCCCAGTGTTTCTAGACCTGACTTACTTGTGAGTATTTAAAGGTTTCTGTGCTGAGGATGGAAGAGGGTGTCGGGTGTTAGGGGGTGTTGGATGGGAAAGGGAACTTCAGAATGGTGGGAAACAGCACGATTTGTTGTAGATGGAATCCATTTACTGATAAGAAAATATCATTAGAATTGAAGGGATATTACAGCAAAGCTAAAAAGTTTTCATGAAGTGCAAAGGCAAACCAAGAATGGGAAAAAGAAATTAAAATAAAATAGGCAAATAAATTTTAAAATAAAACAGGTGATAAATGAAATACAGATGTATTACATCCCATGTACCTGCAGTTTGCACCACAGTATCACTGTCAGTACCCCACACCTGTACCTTCAGCTTGCAGGATCAAAAAGTCTTCAAAAACAGAAATCCGTCCCTTCCCTTGCAACGCAGGCTGAGGGCCTGGGTCCTTGGGCTCTGCATCGGGGTTTTGCCTCTCGCAGCTACTGCAACAGGAAGAAGATGGCAGAAATTGTCCCCCGGTCACCCGAAGCAGCCGTGCTGCTGTGGGAAGCCAGGATGCAGGAGTCGGCAGAGGCATGGGTCCTGGCAGCCTGCGCCCCGGCCCTTCGGAGCCCCTGAGCTCTCCCAGCAGCATCCTCAGCCTAAGGGCCCTGCAGGGCTGCCTCAGGGCACTGCAGCCGTCCGACACAAATAGAGAGGTAAGCAGAACGAAACTCCACGCTGTGTGAAGTTAGGGTAGCTGCAGGCAGCGAAACAAGTCAATGGCACGAAAATAGAGGTCGACATAAAATCTGAAATACCTATACTGTCAGGCAAGGTATGGATAAAAAAAGGGGTTAAATATTTTAATTGGTTTATTAAATGTTAAGCCATTTGGGAAGGAACAGTCACTCTGCATCCTGCAACAAAATCAGCATGCAGCAGCCATTGCCAAAGAGAAAAGAAGAAAGTTTCTGTAAAGACAGATTTAGCTTTTGATCTGTACAGACTAGGCGATGCACTCCAGGCTGTCAGATTATGGTTGCACATGCGGGACAGTAGTTGGAGGAATAAATACCCGAGGCTGAGCAGGAGCTGCCAAGGAAAAGGCAGAAAGGGACTGGGAGCAGGTTCTTCGCTGGCTGAATGCTAGAAATGGGAGAGGTGCTCGGAGCGGGTGGGGAGGGTGGCGCTGGGTCAGCCCTCTACCCGCAGAACCGCAGGCATACTGCTTCCATCTGTGTTAGGAGTTGGGTCATTCACCTGCCACCTGCAGACATGCTGTCCCCTAACATCCTAGAAGACGAAAGCATCATTCATTTTCTCACTATTTTGATTCTCAGTTGGTCCACCTGGTTCTTCTCTATGTTTTAAATTTTATATATTTTGCAAACCTTTTATTATCTGGTTTTAAGTACGTGTTGCTGCCTGAAGAATCACCTGGAAACATGAATTAACTGCAATAATACAAAAGGCAGAAAAAGTGTTTCATAATTTTATTGGAGCGGATTCAAAGTGAGGTTGCTAGGTACGGTGCCAGTAACTCTGTGGCTGCAGTTCTGCTGCCACTAAAAATAGTTACAACTTCAAAAGCCATGCCTAACAGTAAATGTACATGCAAACAACCCCGTGCTTTATCAAAATAAAAAACCCTTTTATTTGTTAAAATTATAGACAAATAAGGGGATTTTTTTACCACTATTTAATTAAAGCAGTTACATAGCCTGAGCTTAAATACCAAGTAGCACTGTCTCTGCAGATATTGCAGTCAAATTTCACTAGTATTTACACAAAAATTGAACTTACTCAACAATATGAAAATCACAGTACAATAGAAAAATAAACATTTTCACGTATATCCTTGAAGCACACTGTAATTCATAGCCACAAAATAAGTAGTGGTTTTAATTCACAAGTCATATGTCTTCAAAGTATTTGAAATTATTGTGCCAATACAGTTAGGCTCCAGAAATAATATTCTGTAGTAGGTTCTGATTCAGTGCAAAGCACCTGAAGTTAGAAATAATACAGCAAATGTAAGTAGAGTGAAACAGTCCTATTCAAGCAGCTATAATTGTTGGTTTTGGTGTTTGTTTTTTTTTTTAAAGTTAAGGGCTTTTAGTGTAGGGCCAAACCAGCTTCCACCCAAGGGCCAGCATTCCTCCCTGCAGCTCTGCTTGCACCGTCCCCAGTGCTTGCACTGTCCCCAGTTTGCAACTGGCAGCTGTCGAACACGGCTGCTCAGGAGCTTGGAATACATTTTTCATGTTCAAATTCAACTTCAGGCCTATAGCTTCCTTCAAAAATTTTACCAGAGGTGGAGACTAACCACTGCAAGTAACAAATATGAATGTATGGACTTGAAAAATAATGAGCTTATCACAGAAATAAGTAATGCCTGTGTTAAGACATATGACTTTATTAATGTTTTTGTTCTGGACCAATCTGAAGACAAAAACTAGTCACAAGGAAAAAAAAAAGAATCCCAGAAAGGCAATTAGCAGGTTTTTTGTCTTCTGGCACCCCTGGGGCCAGCGTGTTTAACTGCTACAGACCTGACTTTCCAGGTAGGACTGTCTGTGGGTGGCAGCGGGGAAGAACAGCCCTTTCCATAATGTGTTCTGCCCAGCTCTCAGTGGGACCAGAGCTAGCAGAACAAGTGCGTTACGCTCAGCGGGCTCCAGACGGACTCAGCCCTGCAGCTGGAGCAGCCACAGCAGCAGCGCCCGCTCCCCGGAGCTCCTGCTGCACAAGGCTCCTGCACCAGAGGTGCCCGGGGGTGCCCAGAGCCTTGTGTCCTCCCCGCCTTGTCCTTCCTCATCGAGAAAGAGAAGAGGAGGATGCCAGGCTCAGGAAAACTTGGCGTGACCCTCTTTGGGCTCATACAGCATGACCCTGAGGGTTTAGTCTATGGGCCCACACTATGGAAACAAATCTTCAGCTTCTGTTCTTGGGTGTGAACAGGAAGGCAGCGGGATGCTCTGCGGCATTCACTCACTCATGGGCCGTCAGCCACAAAAATGGCCCTGCAGCTTCCCACAGTCACCTTCCACAGGATCGCAGGGGAATTTGGGTTGGGAGGCAGCTTACCAGGGCATTTAGTGCAATTTCCTGCTCAAAGCAGGGTCAGGCAAGGTACTTCTGGTTCCCTATGTTTGATCATTATTTCATTAACTTGGTGTCAGATGAACTGGATTAAAACAAAAAATCCTACATGCTATGTTATGAAAATGTACAAACTGACAGCAGATCATGTGTAGGTTTCATACTGATTTCATTTTGTGTTAAAGATTACCATATGTGGGAGTTAATGGGCATAAATGAGAAAAAAAAATTAACCCTATGAGCTGGAGGAAGCAAAATATAGCTAATGAATAATAATTTGTTTCGGCGTGGATCATTGTAGAATGCTTTGGCAAAACTTAACTTAAGCTCTAAATAACTATTTACTTCAACCCTTTTGGCATCTTCAGTGAATGATTTGTAGTTATTAAAAGATTCCCAAATATACCCAGAGGAAGAATAGGTTAAAAGCATGACCATGAAATCATAAAAGGTTTAATCTCATTTGCTAGTTGAAGGCTAATACAGCACAATGAAGGAAGGTGGAACTTTTAAGTGGTCTTCCTGTAGTGAGATGATGAGCTGAATCTTGTTGCTAGTAAATGCAACCCATCGTCATCATTGATTATTAATTAAAAGCCCAAAGGCTGTAGCTGAGATATTGCATTCTCTTTGCATATTGGATAGGTCAGAAACAAACTCCAGTCGAGCGGCTTAGGGAAAGGCTTCTTCAACTGTACCCATCACAGAGGTTTATGTATAAACACAGGGATCACCTTGGGCCTCTGAGGCTGGTGGACTGATTGTCTTCCACAAAGATGTTATAGTAAGGATAAGTACCAAAAGGCAAACATTTAAGAACAGTCTTGCCAAGTTCCCCAGGAGCTAATGGCTCCAGCCACCACACTGCCTGTAGATCTGCTTGGTTTTTGTCCTGGTGGTGTCCAATCCTCCCACGTCTGACCAGCTTCCTCTCTGACGGGATGGCCCAACAGACATTATTCCATCATGTTGCAGGTAAAAAAGTAATCGTGTCGGAGGAGAAATGAATTTGGTGTGATTTTGCAGCGGTTCCTACTACCCCATGTCAAATATAGCAATGCTTAAAAAAAGAGCAGGAACTTTAAATGAGATTGCGAGGCTCAGCTTCGAGCTCCAGCGGGATTCAGAGGAGGCTGTGACTCTCAGCGTGTGTGCAGCAGGGAGTCACATCGGAGCAGGATGCGGTTTGAGGTGTTAGCTCTGCAGGTCATAGGATCTGAAAGATGGAAAAGAAACTGTGTGTAAAATGTGTTTAATGATGCTTCTCGGTGTTTGGTGGGAGGCTCCCATACACTTCTGGGAGGTGAAGATGCCGAGTGCAGTTGCCTGCCATGGCTGATCATCAGAAGTGATCTTCATTGAATAATCAGAACAGACCTCAGTAATGAACTGCACGAATGATCTGGCCAGTTGCACAGTTCTCTTCAGTGAGGCAAGATGAAACAGACCGAGCTTTCAATGGTTCATGAGGAAAGCATAAAAACATCGCAGGTGTTCAAGACCCAGAAGACTGCAGGGCAGACACTGGAACAGAGGCGGCTGTCCTAAGCTCCAGAAGGTGGATCTCCCTGGCAGGGTGTCTATCCGGACCGTGGGTCTCTCCTGCAGCATGCCCAGCCTGCTGCAGCTGGGCCCGTAGAGTTTTGTTGCACTTGGATTTCATACACACTGTAATAGTTAGCCAACTTTGCCGTATTAAAGAGACATATTGCAAGAAGACTGTAAGTAACTACATAAGGACCAACCTGGGTGTACGGTTTTACATTCTGCTCTGTCTGTTTAGGATCTTTTTTCAGACATGGATAAGTGGAACATTTTACTTCCTAACTGAAAGAGAGAAATAGACCACGAAATGCTGGGAGATGAATACAATTTTAAACCTAGAGAAGCAGATTCAGAGAATATCCTATTTTTATGCTCTCTCTCCATTTAATTCATCTGCCATGCCAAACAAGACATGCCTCAGTTGAATGAAGTCTCAAATAATCACATAATAGGAGAAGTCATTTATTGTGAATCAGGCTCATTCTCTGGTGATATAAATAGGCTGTGCTGTTCCACGGTCTTTTGTCAGTAGGGATTAATTAGCAGTTGACCCTTGGTTGGGATTTCTTCACTACCTCTACATTTTTCATCTCATAGGGCTAAATGAGATCTTAACACTGCTTTAAGAAGCCATGCTTCCTAAGCAGCACTTTAATTTATCTTTGGGCTATAAATCAGTAGTTTAATTTATCACTAGGTTACATATCAACAGTGAATAGTCAGGGTGGAATTGAGTTTATTATAAAGATATTCTGCTAGAAGACACAGTATTACAGTGATTGAAACATGCTGTTAAATTTTCCATTAATGCCCAATTCTGAATATGAATACGGAGAACCACACGTTACATACTTTACATTTAGCTTTCTAATAAATAAGTTCAATAAATAGGGATTTTGCAGATGAAGAAGCTGTACGCGTGAACAGAAGCTGCTTTACAATGTTGTCAAAAAATAACTAGAGCTATTCTTGTTTGTTACCAATCACTGGAAATCCGTAAGTAAAATATAAATATTTTACTCTTACTATGAAGACTGGAGGAACGACGATCTGTTAAAATCACCCTTAGGATTACATAGAACTTAATTTTGTACACTAAATTTATAATTTAGAGCATGCTTTCGTACCATTTTTAGCACACAGTATTTTCAAATACATTTCTTAAAAATATGAGAAATGAGTAAGACTGCCCATGTAAGATTTCATCTGTAATTTTGTACTAAATTTATAATTTAGAGCATGCTTTCGTACCATTTTTAGCACACAGTATTTTCAAATACATTTCTTAAAAATAATGAGTAAGACTGCCCATGTAAGATTTCATCTGTGCTCTGGCTCTGATTGTAACATCTTGTTAATACAGTAATTTATTTGTCACAGTACAAAAAAATTAATTCCTCCTTTTATTTTTTTATATATATATAATATATAATTTATTTATATTACCCATTTTAATAATTATTTTCTTGGGAAACAACTCTTACGTTATCTCTAAAGATTGCCAGGAACAGAAATATTCTCGTACCAAATGAAAACGCAAGTAACTCGAGCAACTGTAGTTTTACTTCTCTGAAAAGTACAGTTATTTTCAGCACACACATTTCTCATGTTTTACCCGTAAAGAACTCCAGCAAGGCTCCCAACACCGGCAGTCAAGCGTTCGCGCTGCAGTGAGATGTTGGTCAGCCTTTGGGAAGGGTGGCTCGCCCATGGCTCCACAGAGCTCGCGCAGGCGCTCCCCAGGCAAGCCCAGTCCGTGCTCAGCCCCGTCCCGCGGTTCCTCTGGCTGACAACCCGCCAGTTTTCCTCAGCACGGAAGGCAGGATTGGACCATCAGCTGCCCAGAACCAAATCACCTCCGCACGCATTTGCACGCAGACATCTGTTCACGGAACGCACCACTACGTGCAAGTGCAAAGCAGGCACCTGCTTATCTGCCAGTGGCTGAGGTGTCAGTTCACCTGGAAGCCAATTTGCCTTTAATGGGGTCCAGATTTTTCATGAACAACCATCGTAATCTGAAAGCATAATCATGCACACATCAGTAAGCCTACCTTTTGTAAAACACCGGCACTCAAAGAAGACTGAATCATAAATGCTACCGAACTATCAAATAATTATCAACACTAGAAGTAGATGAAGAAATAATAAAACTGTAAAGGTGAGATAACTGCATCATGACTTTGATTTAAATACTTGTTTACAACAGCAAGTGAGCAAAAGGCTAGGTATGTGGACTGAGCCTCAGAAGAGAAGACACTGCTTTTTCTTATTGTTATTTCCTATTTTTAAAGAGAGGCTGATTGAGAACATTTTTGAATGTGGGAGACTAAGTCATTAAAACAGAAGCACTTGGATTGCCTTCTTCCTTTAGGGGATTTACTTCATTTTATTTTATCTGACACGAGTCAGAAAGAAATGAGAATATTGTAAGGAGGAGGAAAGCTGAATTTTGACATGTTATTTTCCATTAAAATTCTTCCGCTGATTTTGTTAAGCTTTTTCTAAGGTCAGAAAATGAGGCTTTACCTAAAACGAATTTGAGAGACTGGTAGATTTTCCTCACGCACTTGTAGCACTACAGTGTCCTACTGTCTCAAAGCAGTGGATTTTTTCAAACTGTTCCCAAATCTTTTGCATTCGTTCACAAACTCGTATCTCCGTTCTGTTTATACTCAGATAAAATATTGAGAGTCATTTCCTCACTTTTGGACTGCACGTTGTGTTCACTTCTTCTGGACGATTTCCTGGTCGCCCTGGAAAGCCGCCTTCGAAAGGTATCACCTGCCAGAAAGTAAAGGATAGGGTCGACGCAGCTGTTGAGGCTGGCCAGACCCCTTGTCACTTGGTAAGTGGCATAAACCTTATCGTTGAAGGCACACATTTGTGGAGTCTGAAAATCCACCCTGGCTCTTAGATTTAAGGTCTTCATCACGTGGAAAGGAAGGTAAGACACAGCAAAGACCGTCAACACAATAATAACCAGGTAAATGGACTTTCTCCTGAGAGGAGAATTGTCCAAATCTTTGTAAATCAAAGCTTTCACAATGAGCCCATAGCAACCAAGAATCAGTATGAATGGGATGCAGAACATAAGCACTGTGGTGCACATGCTGTAAATGAAGTAACTTCTCAGGTAATCATCGGCTGTAGTGTCGTAGCACGTCGTGGTTTTATTTCTCCTTATCCCCGTTCCCGAGTAGAAGAGTATTGGAGAAATCACGGCCACCACAATGACCCAGACCAGGGTGCTGATGTACACCGCGTTCTTCTTCTTCAGCCTCCCCAGCGACTTCAAGGGGTGCACCACTCCCGTGTACCTGTGCACACTTATGCAAGTTAGAAACAAAATACTGCCATACAGGTTCACATGGAAGATGAACCTCTGCAGCTTGCACATGATATCTCCGAAGATCCAGTCTGTTTTATTGAAGTAGTAAAAGATGAGGGCAGGCAGAGTCAAGACATACAAGAAATCAGCTAGCGCCAAGTTGAACATGTAAACCGAGATGCCGCTCCAAGGCCTCATGTGGAAGACAAACATCCAGATGGCCACACTGTTTCCCAAAAACCCAGTGATGAAGACCAGAATGTAGACGGTGGGCAGGTAATAGAACTGGAAGCCAGTTTTGGTCAGGGAACACTTGGTGGTGGCGTTTCCCGCAGACCAGCCGCTGCTGGATAACAGGTTGGGTTCAGTTCCATTCAAAGCAGCAGAGAAGAAGACTTCGGTCATGATCCTTCCACCAGAGTCACATAGGTCTGAGGTGAAGCAACAAAGTCTCTACAGGAACAGTAACGCATCTGAAGAAAGAAGAGAGCAAATAAAACCTAACTGGAAGGTAAAACCTGCCCTGCTTTTCTTCAGAGGGTTTCCATGCGGGTGTGCTCGGCTGAGTGTCTCCCACCCGCGCAGGTCGGTCTAGAGTGGGGTGTGGACCGTCCCCCCGCGCAGCACCCGGACCTGCCACACGTCGGGAGCCAGGGAACACCTCGGCGGGTCGCTGCCTGCCGCCGGCGGGCCCTTCTCGGCAGCCGAGGCGGAGGAGGGGAGGGTCCCCTCCAGGCCCAGCGCTGCGCCGGCCGGGGCAGGGCTGCGGCCTGCCCGCCCCTTCCAGGCAGCCGAGGCGGAGGAGGGGAGGGTCCCCTCCAGGCCCAGCGCTGCGCCGGCCGGGGCAGGGCTGCGGCCTGCCCGCCCCTTCCAGGCAGCCGAGGCGGAGGAGGGGAGGGTCCCCTCCAGGCCCAGCGCTGCGCCGGCCGGGGCAGGGCTGCGGCCTGCCCGCCCCTTCCAGGCAGCCGAGGCGGAGGAGGGGAGGGTCCCCTCCAGGCCCAGCGCTGCGCCGGCCGGGGCAGGGCTGCGGCCTGCCCGCCCCTTCCAGGCAGCCGAGGCGGAGGAGGGGAGGGTCCCCTCCAGGCCCAGCGCTGCGCCGGCCGGGGCAGGGCTGCGGCCTGCCCGCCCCTTCCAGGCAGCCGAGGCGGAGGAGGGGAGGGTCCCCTCCAGGCCCAGCGCTGCGCCGGCCGGGGCAGGGCTGCGGCCTGCCCGCCCCTTCCAGGCAGCCGAGGCGGAGGAGGGGAGGGTCCCCTCCAGGCCCAGCGCTGCGCCGGCCGGGGCAGGGCTGCGGCCTGCCCGCCCCTTCCAGGCAGCCGAGGCGGAGGAGGGGAGGGTCCCCTCCAGGCCCAGCGCTGCGCCGGCCGGGGCAGGGCTGCGGCCTGCCCGCCCCTTCCAGGCAGCCGAGGCGGAGGAGGGGAGGGTCCCCTCCAGGCCCAGCGCTGCGCCGGCCGGGGCAGGGCTGCGGCCTGCCCGCCCCTTCCAGGCAGCCGAGGCGGAGGAGGGGAGGGTCCCCTCCAGGCCCAGCGCTGCGCCGGCCGGGGCAGGGCTGCGGCCTGCCCGCCCCTTCCAGGCAGCCGAGGCGGAGGAGGGGAGGGTCCCCTCCAGGCCCAGCGCTGCGCCGGCCGGGGCAGGGCTGCGGCCTGCCCGCCCCTTCCAGGCAGCCGAGGCGGAGGAGGGGAGGGTCCCCTCCAGGCCCAGCGCTGCGCCGGCCGGGGCAGGGCTGCGGCCTGCCCGCCCCTTCCAGGCAGCCGAGGCGGAGGAGGGGAGGGTCCCCTCCAGGCCCAGCGCTGCGCCGGCCGGGGCAGGGCTGCGGCCTGCCCGCCCCTTCCAGGCAGCCGAGGCGGAGGAGGGGAGGGTCCCCTCCAGGCCCAGCGCTGCGCCGGCCGGGGCAGGGCTGCGGCCTGCCCGCCCCTTCCAGGCAGCCGAGGCGGAGGAGGGGAGGGTCCCCTCCAGGCCCAGCGCTGCGCCGGCCGGGGCAGGGCTGCGGCCTGCCCGCCCCTTCCAGGCAGCCGAGGCGGAGGAGGGGAGGGTCCCCTCCAGGCCCAGCGCTGCGCCGGCCGGGGCAGGGCTGCGGCCTGCCCGCCCCTTCCAGGCAGCCGAGGCGGAGGAGGGGAGGGTCCCCTCCAGGCCCCCGCAGTGATGGAGGAGGGGGACGCCGCGCCTGGGCTAAGCCCCCTCCTGCCAGCACCAGCGCGTGGCGGGGCGCAGGCAGCGGGGTGCCAGGTGTGCTCCTCCTGAGCTGCTGTGAGCGGCTGAGCAACGCTTTCCTGATTTTGCTTTCACTCAACCCTTTGAAATCTGCTCTGCAACCCAGTTTAAGCTACATGAACATGTTAATTGCTGCAAATGGAACAGCTGAGCAGAAATATGCTCTACTGACCTCTAATTAAGCACTATACATTTGGCACTTGAGTCAGAATACGATTATTATTTATTGTCTTAGCAAAACACAATCTGCTGGTTTCAGCCATTTCTTCCTTGTTCACATTTTAGTTAGGATGTGTGGTGAGTGGTACATGAGCTAGTCATATCTGCTCTCAGCTAAAAGCTGTGTTCTAGATGGAGGATTATTAGTACTTCATGAATATGTATTCATTTTTCAAACTTTTGAGCCTTGTCTAAATTACAAAACTACTTTGTTGGGAAAGCCTAATTGGGAAATCAGCTGCATATTGTACTCCTGTAGGAATATGCAAGTGGATGCAGATGGAGTTGCCAGCCTGGCATCTCTTTCGGGGCAAGCTACACAGACTACAACTTTGAAGCAACAGCTTAAATTTTGTAAATATAAGACCTTTTCTTCCTGTGTGTTAGTTTTTTTTCTTTTTGTACTCATCCACTAACTGCATATTTACTACTTTGAAGATTCTTTTTAATTTTAATACCAATTTAATGTGAAGAGAAAGGAAAGCGAAAAATGAGACAACAACGGCAACACTTGTAAAATCTGTGTTGTAAAGCAAGCCTGGTTTACAAAACTGTTCAGTGGTGCCCTCTAGGATTTTAAAGTGCTAGCAAAAATTAATCCTTAGCCTCGGCGTTCCCACAAGAGAAAACACCCAACCCACAAACCAGACGTACGGTAAATACAGTATAATAATATCAAGCCCACCATGCTGGTTTATGAAAAAGCCATCTTGCTCCTCGGAGAATCAACCGCATGGCCAAAACCAGAGTTCATTTTAATAAAGGACTTGGATTATTGTGTAAAAAAAAATAATTAAAAAATACAAAGCGATGCTATTAGCGTACTTTGCTAATAGCCTTTTCGTTTATCTTTCCCTTTATAATTCTTATTTCATTAGTGATTTTCTCAGTCCCATTGCTAACACGTAGCTTCTCTTGGCAGCTTCCTTGAATTCCCTGTCTTGAGCAAATTTTGAGTCATACCGAAGCAGCGTTAGATCGCATCAGTAAATATGCACTATGAACTACAGCCTGTTTTCCTCTTACCTAAGCAGCGCCGTAAAACCAAACCGTGGAGACAAAAGGTCAGAGCAGTAATTCCGGGAGCCCGCAGCTGCCTGGAGAAGGAGGCATTTCTTAGGATTTGTGCTCATGCCTGATACAGGCTGAGGTGCAGGCAGCAACGCCAGGCGCAGGGTCTGGCCGTGGGGACTTCTCAGCCTTCTCTGGAATAGGGCTTGTGAGCCCAGCTATGAACAGGGCTGTGGTTCATTAATAATGGGCCTTGGAGAAGTACGAGATCACCAGCACAAGCGTTAGCAGGAGTAGGCAGGAGGACGTGGCTGGGGGGGGGGGGGGTGCCCAGCCCCCCCGGGGGGGTGGGGTGCCTCCCCGGCCCCCGTGGCAGTGTTCACACAGACCTCGGGCTCAACGCCGACATGACATTGGTGGGGACAGGAGAGACAACACCTGATCTGGCATGAAGCCGTGGCTGCATAGAGAGGTGACACCTCATCTGGCGTAACGTTCTTGTGGGACCAATATGCATATTCAAGGTTGAATACAAATGTATAAATATCCGAAGGCAGAAGCTGAATCTGTACCAAACCCATGCTTCACATTCTTCAGCTGCAGTACTGTTGATCCGTTACTAAAGACTCCAAGCTCAGATTTATAATCTGGTCTGAGAAAATTCAATTTATTTAGTCTGCTGTGCCACGGCAGGATTTTCCAAGATACCTGACTCATCCCTGTAACTTTTTCTGAGTGTCATCTCATTTTTCAATGGCTCGTTTGAAGGGTGGGCACCCGAAGCAGACACTGTTGTGACAGCGTTGCTCACATCGATTACAAGCATCAAGCTGCCTCCCTGCCCCAGCAGTTTCTGATGGTACCCCTCGAGGGTGTAACATCACACTCGTGCGTCGTCTCCCAGCTTCTGGGGAAGAACCTCCACCATCAGAAGATCAGGTGCTACCACATACTGGAAACAGCAGCATCTTTCCAGAACCACACTCACCTTTCCTCACAAGAGTGGAAATGAGTGTTTCCCTTTTTTATGCACATTTTCTAAATCACTGGCATTCTTGCCTCCTTTTTAGTCCTGCCTCACATACCTCACTTCATCCAGGCGTCCCTTTTCCTTTTTTATACCCCAATTACTGTGACCGCTCAATATTTCATCCTTTGCCTAGCCTTGCAAACCTCATCTGTTATCTCTGCCTACACTACATTTCCCCTCTCGCTACAACTTGGGGTCAGCTGGGCGCTGCTGATGGAGGGCAGAGGCGTGCGAATGGCCAGGACCTTCGCTCCTCACCTGCTTTAGTGGCACTTTGGACCTGCCAAGGAAACTGCCTGCCCACTGCAGCCGGACCCATGCAGCCCGTGCTGTATAAGCAGCTACGTCCCTGCTGCTTCATCGGCAGCCCGCACCTCAGCACCGCCCATCTGAGCCTGCCAGTACTGGAAATGGAAATCTCACACACTGGTTTTAACAGTTTGCTCATTCTGACTGCAGTGCTTTGGCTGTGAAAGGTCCAAGCACTTACATGAGTAGAGAAGAAGGCATATTTTTTAGCAGCCATACTGTTACGTGCCTTCATACACAACCAGCAAATTAGTGTCTTCCTGCTTATATCACTGATCTATTCTTATTTTGGACCACAACTATAAATCACGTTGCATTAGCACCTTTTCCTCCATAGCTCTAGCATATGCCTTGTAGCTGAATAGGTTTCTATCTGGTATAGCTGAAATTGAATTCATTCCAGCTTTGCCTCTTAATGCACTTTCTGCAAAATCTGGGATTTTATACCACTGATTTCCATTAAACTGAATGTTTTGTTCTGCTAACAGCTGATTTAACTCAAACGGATGATATATCCCTAATGAGAAGAGAAAGCATGCTCAAGAGCAAATGGAAATTCCCAGTCAGTCCAATTAGTGCTGAACTATCGCAGTGTGTGGGTGTGCAAAGGGAACGGTCTGGACATAAATCCAGCTGTTTCTACCTGTTGGTTTTCGTTATCAGGAAGACTTAGATGCAGATTTCGATATTTCAAAGTGTGCCAGTATGAACAATGGGCC